TTAGTTACTACGTTGTAGTTAGTTATATAGTATACGATTAGTATATTGTAGTTAGTATAAATTAATATATATATATATATATATATATATATATATATATATATATATATAGGAGTGGATTCAGTATGCCTACTAGCTGACCGCTACAGTAAGCGTCAATGATCTAGATTAAATCTTGGCTTATTTGATGGTCACGACCTCTTTTTGTATTTGAATTTTATTTTATTTTATTTTCTATAAATCCAAATTTTTTAAAAATTTAAGTGTATATTCTTCACATCAAGGCACACCTAATAAAAATATCAAAAAATAATCAGCAAAAACAAAATTGACCAAAATACCTCCAAAATTTTACAGGGGTATTTTGGATATTTTTTTATGTAAAATATTTTTTTTCTATTTTTCGAAGATTCACATATTTTTTATGTACACACTCTCCAATTTTTAGATTATTCTGATTTGTAAAAAAAAATTAAAATTAAAATACTTTCGGATATATGTGATCATCAGATCGGCCCAAATTCAATCTGGATCATTGGCGTTTACCGTAGTAGCAGTACGCCATTGGGCTGACAAAATTTTTTTCTTAAAAGAGAGAGATGCATGCTCAACACACCATAGTGAGGCCGTGCTGCAACAAAACGGGCTGCCTTGTGTGGTTGGAGGGTGTAGGAGTGCGGCCTTGGGAAATTCTTTGGAGACTGAGTATGTAACCATCCTTTGTTGTCATCTATTATAATTATTCAACAAAAAAGAATTAAATCCTTGTAATTTTCACTAACCTCAAAGCAAGAAAGAGAAGAGTATTTGTAGGGAGATGGAAAAAGAAGGAGCAGTAGAAGTTGTTGTGTGTACAGTATGCTCTTGGCATTGGTATCCTTTGGGTTTGATCACTTCCTCGCATACACCAGCAGCCCCACCATGACTAATGGCGACCAAAATACACACTACCGAGCCCAACCACCAGCTCCAACCCATTTCTTCTACTGTGCCTTGTGAGCTTAAGCCTCTTAATTTATAAGATAGAGAGAGAGAGGAGTTATTGGCAACTGCATGCATTTGTTACAAATCCTAGAGAGAGAGAGAGAGAGTGGCATCGCATGCATGTGTTACAAATCCCTAGTCCTAACGCCTGTAAAACGTAGGACATGTATGGGCCCACTCACATGGGTCCACATCTCATCCTTTGTGATAAAAGAGAAAGTAATATAAAGCCGTTGATGTTTAGATCCAATGCCTCAAAAGATTACTTTTGGTATGTAGGCCCCAATCCCATGCTTATTACCCATTCCTTCCTAGCAATGCATCTGTGAATTTTGCCGAACAATAACCTAAGAGAGCATATGGAAAACATTTTAAATTAGGGGAACACTGGTTAAAACTTAAAAGGGAACTCTATTTCTCTCTCTCTCTCTCTCCATTAATAACGTATTAACATCATCTTAAATGGGGTTTGACGCTTAATCCATTAAGAGCGTATTAACGGGGTTTGACCCTTTGAATCAACAGGCGACAGTTTAGTTTTTTTTTTTTTTTTTTTGACGTTACATTCTTTTTGATTTTTCCTATTTGATGGTAGGTATTTCGATCAATTCGTTTTGGTGGAATCAAGGGAGTAGTAGTATTTGAGCTTTGAGGGCACCTTCTGTAAGTGGAATTTGAGAATTTTTCAGAGGGTGAGGCTTTTGTTTTTTAATAATCCAGTGGGGATGACAAGCTTCGATCCGTTTTTCTTTTTGTAATCGGAAGTTGGGAATTTTCTAGAGGGTGAGGTTTTTTTTTCTTTTTTGATAATTCAGTGGAGACAACAAGCCCCTGTCCGTTTATGAAATAATGGTTTTTTGAAGCTGTCAATAGAAATGGAAACCACTACATGCAACTGAGGCATGAGGTGTGCTACCACCGTGACCTCAGCCCTTTTTCTAGGGTGAGGTTTATATAAGGTGTCCATACTACACCATCAATGTAAGGCGTACTTTTAAACTTTGTTCAAGGTTGCAATTCGAATGTTGAAAGCAGTACAATAACCTAAAAATCACTTTTCACCCCTAATTATGAAATTTTAGGCCTAAAAATCATGTTGATCAATTAGAATTATAAATACTTAAAGAGAAATGATTTGATGTAACCGTTGCATCATAGTATGATGAAACGGTGAGTTGGAAAAATTGTAGCCATTAGATTCTTGAGCAATCCAACAATTGAGATTACACCTACTTTTTAATAGGATTTGAAAGCCCCGAAAATTATTTCTTACTCCCGCTTTTCTCTCCTCACTGCTATCTCTCTCTTCATCTTCCACCTCTCTCTCTCTACCAACATTCTCTCTCCCTTCACCGTTTCACTCTCCTCGTGTCTTCTCCTCCTGCCCCTCTCCCCTCTTGTTTCCTCACCCCATCATCTCTCCTGATCTTTTCTCTCTCTCTCCTTCCCTCTCTAAGCTTTATCTCTCTTCTTACCTCACTCATTTTCTTCCTCCATCTCTTTCATTGCTCCCAAAGAAAAACTCAGCAAACTCAGAAGCTCCAAATAGCTTACAATGAGATGAATTCTTGGTACATTACTCCTATTGTAGGTGAGGATGAGTATACACTTGAAGATTTGGTGGAAGCTTCTCATTATGTCAATGATGATATTAGATTTGGTGAAACCTTCTCATTATGTCAATGATGATGCTAGAATGTTGCCTCAAGCATCATTTTTTGTATATGTGGCATTTTTTCGTGCGGCCCCAACAAATGTAATTTTGGACTAAATAGAATACAATCCAAGGTTTAATGCATTGAATAGTTTCGCTACACTTGGTGGTAAACTTTTTGTTAGTCAATTACATTGAATCAATAGATGAAAAGCTTGTCATTTAGTTTGAGTTGTCACTCAATACAATCAGTTACATCTCTTTCTCTCTCCATGTTGTGTAGAGCATCATCCTGTTTTATGTCTAGAACATTTCTTTCTCTCTCTCTCTATTCATATTATGCAAAGCATCATCATGTTTTATGTCTAGAACAAACACCCCAATTTCTTCAAACCATTAGCGAATCTGATTTTCTTTATTTAAATTGTATTTAACATAGCTCTAACTTTATAATGAAATATAGTTTGTCACATGTAGGAACCACACAATTGTATAAATGAAATTCAAGTTTTAAAGAACAAAATAATCGAAATGAAAATATATTGATAAGAAACTTCTTTAAAATGAAGCACTGATATATAATTTAGGCTGATTGCTGCTAATTTGGATGAAGAGGGTCTATGCCCTCTTACAAAGCATGTGCCCTCTTTTCTCTTCAACACATGCTTCCTACCCTAACAAAACCTTGCTCTAATATTGACAAAATTTCACCTTGATAACTTTCACGATACGCAGATACAAGTATTTGATATCTTTTCTTCTCTTTGAGCTTCTCCTCTGCTTACCATGCCTGAACCAGTCTTTTTTTTTTTTTCACATAAATGATTGTTGAAGCTTCAAAATCTGAATTTTTGGGATAGAGTTGTTTAACGACAAATATCAATAGAAAATACCACTAAGATCATGAACCATAGTGTGGACATTCTTCATTTGAGAAAAATCTCTCTCTTTCTCACACACACACTCAATGGAGAACAACCAGAAGGCTAGTCAAGCACTACTCAAGTGTGTTTACCAAAAAAAAAGGGATTATATTACACACTAGAACGTAATGCATAACTACTTTTATTCTCCAACTGTTCCAACGGTAGAGCAGTGTTGTCCCATCGCTTTTGGAAATTAACAGATGAAAGGAAAAAAATAAGTAAGAGAGAATCCAACTAAAGATAAATAGAAAATGAAATTCTGTAAGCAAGAGTAACCTTTTGATTTTACCATAAAAGTTCCCAAAGCTGAAGTATCTTTACTTAACCAATGGTAAAACCACCAGAGTTAAATTTTGGAAAACTTAATACACTTGATGCAAATAGCTAATTGTGAAGGTATAACAACCATTTTTGTTCTATGATCACCAGAGGAAGTTATCCAATACCTTTAGCAAGAAATTCAGAAAATGGAAAGAACTTTATGTACTTTTGTCCTACATGTGAGAAACATGAATTTGCTCATCCAATTTGATTTGATTTCAGAAGCCAAGACTGCATTCTGTCAAAATTTGTAGTTTCCTATTCAACAAGATGCTTTCGCTAATGAATCCATTTTTTCCCAAAGACAAGAAACTAAACCATTCACCAAATAGTTTAATACACTTCATATTATCAGTTACTCCATCCTTTTTGCTTATAATCTCTTTCATCCTTACTCACTTGTGGTTATAAGATTATACGTGTAATCCATGGCCTCAAATGACGAGATTATCAGCTGCTTAAAATCCAAAAAAGAAGAGAATCACGCACACCAACCCTGAACAAATTTCTAGTAAAACCCAAAAAATACTGAATTAGAATAAATGCAACCATTTTGTTTTTAGTCTCTGAAACCAATTCATGGATACACTCAACTTTCCTTCAGAATTGGGCCGGCAAAATGATGCAGGGAAATAATAAAACCAAAAAATTGACAATAAAAAGAAAGAAGGTTGAGAGAAAAATATCATCTCTCAAAGGTCTGCAATGGAATACACCCCCAAAACAATCTCATTCAAGAAACCAATTTTTATTCAATTCATAGACTGATTTACAATGAAAGGAGATGTCCCTTTAAATAGATTATAATAAGATAACTAATAAAAAAACTTCTCTTTAGACCAATCCCTATTTTCTCTCTCTTATATTCATGTACCAAAATTGAGCTTCTAGATAGCCACGTTTTTCCTCTTATGTTTTACCCAAAAAAAAGCTCCCTAGTTGATTATTGTTGATAGAGATAATCTCTCTTCTAAATTTACCCTTATCCTAATTATACCCCTCAAACTAAAGTCTTGCCCTACTAATTATCCCTGCGCACTCCCTAAACAAAAGAATAATTAAAATAATCATAATAAATAACTCTAATAATTTTTCTTTATTACGTCATTGTCCTTTCTTTCCCTCTTGGGTTATGCGACCCTTCTTTGGCACAGTCACGAAGGGGCATGGCTGAATCATTCCCCCCCAATTGAAACGTACTTGACTCCTGCGAGTTGGCTTCAGTATATATGCGATATAAGTTTGGATCCACTCTTTTGAATTCTGGCTCAAAAATCCATGTGCTATTAGAGTATGGCCTGCCCTTCCATTTGACTAGAAATTGGCGATAGGAACCCTTTCGAGTTTGAAAGCTTTTAGTTTTCAAAACTTGCTCAATTTCCTTATCTTTCTTATTTGGTAATTTCTTCATCATATCAACTACATCTTCTACGACTTCTAAAGGGTCTCCATGAAACTCAAATAAGTCAGCAACATTAAATATCGGGGAGATATCCAATGCCTTTGGTAATTCTACCTTATATACATTGTTCCCATATTGCTTCAAGATGCAGCAATGACTCACTTTATTGGACTTGAGTTTATTATAGGTTCCCAACGGAAACCTTTCATTTCGCAAATACACCATTACTAAGTCACCCTCCTTGAAATCTTCTCTCTTCTATGCTCAATTGAGGCTTTTTGATACTTTGCATTGCTCTCCTCAATTTTCTTCTTGATTTGGGCTTGCAAATCTCGAATATGCTCAGCAAAAGAATTGACATCATCACTTATCTTACCTAGCATGGGTAATGGCACTCGGTCTAGCACATGATTAGGCGTCTACCCATTAACAATATCAAATGGTGATTTTCCTGTAGATCGATTTATTGAACTATTGTATACAAACTCAGCCTGAGGTAAAGCGAGGTCCCACTGAGATATGTTATCACCAACAATACTCCTCAAGAGGTTACCAAGGCTCCTGTTCACTACTTCGGTCTGCCCATCTGTTTGAGGATGATGTGCACTCGAAAATTGAAGTTCAGTTCCCATGCTCTTCCATAAAGTGCGCAAAAAATGACTTAAAATTTTATATCCCAATCAGATGTAAT